GGGGTCAAAGGTGCACGGGTCTGCCTGTGTGGTTTCTTCTTCTTGACGCACTCACAAACGTTGGTCACAAAATGCTCCACATCCTTGTACATCTGTGGCCAGTAAAACCTCTCTCGGACTAGGTCCAGAGTCCTTTCGACCCCCAGGTGACCCATGTCTTGGTGTAATTCTTTAAAGATCAATGGGTGGTAGGACTTAGGAGCGACCAACTGTTCTCGTCGGAGAGTCCTACGGCGCAGGATGCCATCGTCGCACAAGCTGATTTTTAGCCACTGTTTTAGCAAGGTAGCGACTGCTGGATGTTCTTTCTTAATCACCACTCTGCTTGGTCTGTGTCCTTGGCTCTTGTACCAGATGACTCGTGCCAGTATTTCATCTTCTCTTTGAGCCTCACGGATCTGTGATGGAGTTAGAGGCTGGCCAGTCTTGCTGCTACAATCCTTTACCAGGCTCAAAGCACAGGTCTGGATGACTCCAACACCCCTACATGGATTCTCTTTCTCAACTTGTACATTCTGTATGAGCGCACCAACAGTCTCTCCACTGACCTCTTGCGTGCAGCTGTTTATGTAGTCTTCCATATTGAGTGGCATCCTCGACAGTCCATCTGCATCATTGTTGTTCTTTCCTGGGCGATAGCGTATTGTGAAGTGATAGTCGGCCAGCTCCGCCACCCATCTGTGTCCTGCGGCATTGAGTCTTGCCGTTGTGCGCACATATGTCAGAGGATTGTTGTCTGTATAGACAACAAATGACTTGGCATGATACAGGTAATCCCTGAAGCGCTCGCAGATAGCCCACTTCAGAGCTAGAAACTCTAACTTCCCTGAGTGGTACCTCTTCTCTGACTGGCTGAGGCTGCGAGACCCGTATGCGATGACTCTCATCTTCCCCTGTTGGCGTTGATACAACACTGCGCCCAATCCATCTTGTGAGGCGTCACAGTGAAGTGCGAAGGACTGGTCAAAGTCAGGATAACCCAGGATGGGGGGTTTTGTGAGGGTCTCGACCAGCTGATTCAGTACTTCCTGGTGCTCTGCGGTCCACTGGATTGGTGTGCGAGAGGGTAAATGACCTTTCTTATCCTTTATTGGTTTCTTTCGTTTCTCAGTCAGTGTTTTTGGGTCATGTTGTTCTAACTTGGGTGGAGCGAGGAGGTTATACAATGGCTTGGCCTTGCAGGCAAAGCTAGGGATGAAGGA